CTTACCTGGCACAGGAGCGGTGATCGACCAGGAGAGAACTGCCAGTCAGTAAGAAATCACGACCTGATCACAATGTCTTCTAGAAAGCTTAACTAACATAGGCCTATATCCCAATGATACAACACCGATTCTCTAAGAATCTGTGATTCCATTCCGAATCTCCATGGATTTGGAGATTCGGATATAAGGATATGGAGATATGGATATAAAGATTCTCTAAGAATCTGTGTTGGGTCATAGTCCTTGAACCATCGCCAATAATTTGTTTTCAATGGTTAGACGCTCTACAATACACCATGTTTTCACCGTTTGACATGTTGACGTCAAAATACAATGAGGAAGGGGTATTAAGAGGACAGGTTATATGACAGTGAGAATTATAACACGAGTATGTAATAGAGGCAATGATAGTGACACTGATAGGCTACAAGAGGAATTAAAATATCCATAACGGGTTAAATCTCGGAACTATTAAATGATTCCCGGAATTAAAATGTTACTGGTTAGAATACCTCGTAAGTTTGTCATTCTTCTTACTATGAAGAAATATATTTTCTGAGTAACACGAAAACAATATTTTTTCCACGAGGAAAAATATTAAAAAATATCTATTTTTTTCATATTTTTTATTCTATTTATGGATGTATGAAGTAGATAAATGACGCCATCTATTGGTCAAGTAAGGTTCCAGTCAGGAGTCAGTGCAAGCATGCTGTAGAGGCTACCTTGAGGTGGTTCCTAGGATCGGTGATCAGGCGGCCCAGTCTCTGAGCTTCCCCCCATCTCCTTTTTCTTCTCCTTCGCTGTCCTCTTCCTTCTCTGTCTTCTTCTTTCTCTTCCCCTCTCTCCCTCTCCTTCTCCTCTTCCGTCACCATATTCAGCATCACCAGGGATGGAAAGAGGGAAATAGAGGAAAGAGGAGAAATAAGAAAAACTTACAAATTAACAAAAACAACAGTAGGAACAACGGAAGCAATTAAGAGAAGAAGATTAAGAAAGGAAGGGGAACTCGGTAAGATAGAGGAGGAGGGGAGGAGAATGAAAGGAATGAAGATGACAGGGAGACGTAAGAAGGCGGAAGAGGAGAGGGAATAAGAAGAAGATAAGGAGTTATCACAAGAAGATAAGGAATCATCACAAGAAGATAAGGAGTCATCACAAGAAGATAAGGAGTCATCACAAGAAGATAAGGAGTCATCACATGAAGATAAGGAGTCATCACAAGTAGAAGATAAGGAGTCATCACAAGTACAATATAAGGAGTCATCACAAGATAAGGAGTCATCACAAGAAGATAAGTCATCATATCAAGAGGATAAAGAGTCATTACAAGATTAAAAACAAACAACACGAAAGAAGGGGCAAAAGGGAAATAAATGATAGAAGCTCAAGGATTCAGAATAGACGACATAGACGAGGGAGGAGCTAGAGAAGAGTAGGAGAGAAGACCCAAGACTCATTTATCGTGGCTGCCATCTCTGGCGTGTAATTGGAAGAGTATTGGTAACTCTTTCCCTTCCCCCCACGTTGCCAGTCCACAAATTACCAGCCGAGAGGAACTTTTTTTTCTCTCTCTTTTTTGTGCTCAAGATTTCCAGGTAGGAGATGATTAGAAGCGCCGTCCTTTGAAAAGATCACCACAGATGACTTCGTCATTTTCGGGGTTTTATAAAGATAATTCTCGCTGCTGCTAAAGACTGGCAAAGACCTACACACACACACACATACATTATATATATATATATATATATATATATATATATATATATATATATATATATATATATATATATAAATGACTGCTTATCCTGTGTTGATTATTATCTTTCTTCTATCCCTATGACAAGTGCTCTTGTCTTAATGGTTTAATTAGTAGAGGATTTCTCCAAATGTCATCTTTGTTCGAGGTAAACTAAAAGAATAATTAACTGTAGAATGTATTACACTAATTATAAATTTACACAATGATTCGAACCAACATGGTTCGCTCTCAAGTGATGGGACTATACTGGGCGTATTGAATTTATAGCATTAGGGAGATTAGGTATATAATAGAATACGTGAGGAGCACGGCGTAAAGGGGGGAAGAATAGGTCATGAATGGAGGACAAATTGAGGACGTAAATGGGGACGAATAGAGTGTAAATAAAAGGAGGAAACACATACAATGATTAATCAGGTGTAGCGTTTTGATCGGTGTCGTCTACGTTGGCATCTTACGCCCACTACACCTGAGTAATCTTTGTATGGCACAAGAGCTTAAATAAGTATTAGGGAAATATAACCACCCCCAGGTGGCCATATTCATGGAGTCAGGTGTAAAATATTGCAAGTGAGTAACGTGGAGGTTAACACTGGCCGTCAGCCTAGTGCTGACTTCCAACGGCCTGAAAGCACCAGCATAAAAAGCAATGATTTGTTCAGATTCAAAACGTATGTTTATTGGCAGCACAAAACGTCCATCAGACTGTGCGACACAGTGGTTGCTAGGATCAGGTTGGGTTACCGTTACCTGTGGCAGGTGGTTACAGGTGACGGATCTCTCAATCCTGAGCACTCCAGGTGCAAACTCTGTGAGCACGAATTGGGTCATGATCTCCCACACTACAACACCAAATGCCCAGTTATCAGACCATTCAGACCAGTAGGCATGAGGTACCTGGAGCTTTGTAATTTGTTCACTCTCGTGTTCTTGATGATATCATAATGCACCAAGAGTTTGCCAGTGCAGAACACATGACCCTGTATGACTAACCATCCTGTGTAATAGAGATTTTTAGCATCACGTAGCTAGTTTTTTGTCACACTGTACTCCCCTTCATATAGTCTAGGGCAGCTGCACAAATGCACATGTACCTAAAAGTGTTAATAAAGAAAATATCCCCCGCATTCTGAGAGAAGAAAGAGAACACCAACCTGAGAGACACATAAAGTTACTTCAAGGCTTCTGGGTAGAGGGGAAGGGTGAAGTGGAGGGAACCTAGGGTGGGTCAAGGGAAAATAGGAGGGAAACAGATGGAGTTTGGGGGTAAAGCAATGATTCTAATACGACTCTTCGCTTTATTTACTATGATCTGCTTCACTTGGCAAGGAAACTGACAAATGAACATCTAATACTATACACTCTTAAAAACTATTCAGTGTTTAGTTATGATAGAGCAATGGTGTCCTCCAGGCAGAGGAGAGGTGAGAACAAAAGAACCAGCCAATCATTGGCCATTAACGAAATCGAGATCAATTTTATGTTTCCATTTTGATGCTCATGTATGTGACTGCCCTGAGACATCAATCATATAAGTCATACACTCATCATCCACCTGTGATGAGGATACAAGTCGTCTTGTAGATACAAGTCGTGAGCAGTGACCATCCTGCTGGCTGGTATGGTTTAAGACAACTATAGTTAAGTCTACATTAAGTCTCAGGATCGACGAACATTACGAAATGACAGCTGAGATCACCAGTGGTGGTGATCTCAGCCTGTGGTGAGAACTGGAGCGTCAGTCGCCGGGAGGAGCACGTCCACACTCGGCTCTCTGAAGGTCGACGGGCCTCTCTCTCCTTATCTACAACTGATAACGCTGCCAACACGATTCCCTTCCCTCAGGGTGCTCGCCCAACCTGTCCTCGCGACTAATGCATCGAATTTTGACGTCTAATTCCCCAACGGACAGAATATGATGTACTATAGATCAGAGTGGCTTGCAAAAATTCCCGTTTTCTATGCGTTGGTTGATAGGTTATGTTAGGTTCGTGCGTTTGTTTACACAATTTTCTATCCATTGCGGCAACTTGAGAGAATGGACTGGTTGATAAGCACAACTTCACAACACTTCATTACAACATTAGTTATAAATACATTTCACTTCATAGACATTCTTTGTAATATTGAGTTCTTGTCTATAAAGTTGATATTAATTATTAATCTCGATAATCTGTTTCTGGCGCCGCTGAATGAGGAGAAATGTTGGTTGGAAGATCAAGTGATAATATGAGAAAAAAATATAGCATGAAATTATGATTAGTTCATATAGTGTGGAAGGGGGAGTCCTGTAGCTATACCTTCCTCTGAATATTGTAAGCGCTTCAGGTAATAATCATGTGCTTTCACACACTACCTGTTCCGCTCCCAGGCCCTCTTCACACACACACACACACACACACACACACACACACACACACACACCTGTACACCTGTTCACCTGTTGATTGACGATTGAGAGGCGGGACGAAAGAGCCCGAGCTCAACCCCCGCAAGCACAACTAGGTGAGTACAACTAGGTGAGTAAACACACACGCACAAACACACACAACATGGGGAGCTAAACTCTTAGAAGTGGCAACAACAAACTTTGAGCCAACATGTCAAGGAACCCACAAGAATGAGAGGACATGACGAACCAGCTAGACTCGACCTGATATTCACCTTGAATGAGTCAGAAATAAGGGAAGTCAAATTTGAAACCTCCCATAGGAATGAATGACAACAGTGTATTGACATTTGAGTATCTGGTGGAGGTAGGGGTAACCTTTCCAAGGATGGGATTGGAAAGGAGAAGACTAAATTACCGAAGACGAAAATATGACGAGGTGAGGAACTTCCTAAGGGAAAAAACCATGGTAAACAGAACTCAGAGAAAAGACTGTCCAGGATATGATGGACCCAGACGTGCCAGGAACAAGTCTGATTAACAATAGGTCTGGTCGTTAACGAGACCTGTTTCATGTTCAAGGCGTTAACCAGCGCTGCTTCTTGCTCTAACTGTTAACTCTCTGCATCATCAATACCTAAGAGACACTATCATGAGGTGTGACATTGTACCTTGGCTAGTATGGGAATAAGTACAGAGCCTCGCCTTCGCTAATGTGTCAGTCCCACCGGTGTGTGGGAGAGACCAGGCTGCCTGGTAACACTAGTGTGGGGTAAGAGACCCAGACCATTGGTTACACTGTGTGGGAGGCCCCCCGGATGTGTAGTCCCCAGCAGAGTGTGGGAGACAACAGGCTGCTTGGTCCCACCAGTGTGGGGGGGGGAGGGACAAGCTGCTGGGAGTCAGGTATTTGAGTGGCTGTGACAACACCCAGCTGCTGATTCCTGTCCCAACACCATCATGGTCACTCTGGCGCTCCTGCTGTCTCTGCTCTCTCAGGGTAAAGTTAAGAGTTACTTATACAATTTTCGCGTCATTAATTCGTTAATGCACTTTCTAATTGAGATTTGTTCTTGCAATTAATAAAACGTTGAAACTTCTTATCGTCAAGGCACAACTTGCACTCACTTTAGTATCAAACAAAAAATGAAGGCATTTTTACCAAATATTTTATACAGCATTTGTTTGTCTCTCAGGTTAAGACAATATATAAGGAGTCAAATCAATTTTAGGTCAACATCGGAGACACAAATCAACAGAATTATTAAATTTCGTAATGGTGGATTATAGGACTTAGATTTGTAAGGGGATAATGATCCAGTATCTCAAATGGCAGCTGGTCAAGCATTCTATGCAGATGAGGAGTCACAATAACGTGGCTGAAAAATGTTGTCAAAACCACATACTAGAAAGTGAAGATACGACGACGTTTCGGTCCGTCCTGAACCATTCTCAAGTCGATCACAGTAATGGTCCAGGACGGACCGAAACGTCGTCGTCTCTTCACTTTCTAGTGTGTGGTTTGGTCAACAAGCATTCTATGGGTCGATATAGAGCAAGGTACGGCTAGAGTCTCCTCTTCCTCCCACGAAGGAAATTAGAGGCGGGTTATCACTTTCCTGGTATGTTTGGGCTGACATACGACCAGCCGTCTTACTTTGGTTCGCTGGCGGACCTCTCACAAATATTATTATTAAAGATATAAAACAAAAATAAGTTTTGATAGAATTTTCCGATTCTTCTTTATTGATTGGGTGAGATATCTGAGTTTGGCAACGGAAAGGAAGGGAATTTTCAGTGGAAAGCGCCAAGCCATTATTACTATAGATCTTGGATGGGGTCAGGATAAGGATTTGGGATGGGACGGGAGGAAAGGAATGATGCCCAACCACATGGATGATTGGAAATTGAACACCGACCTGCTTGAAGCGAGACCGTCGCTCTACCGTCCAGTCCAAGTGGTTGGGCACAACGGAAGTCAGGCTGAGGACCCGCGAGGTCCCTTGATTTAGACTTGGTCGGTAAATCCTTGTTTATAGAGCTATAATGTCAGCGAAGAGAAGAAAAATCTTTTAAACTTCCCAAATCACACTTGACCACACTACTGAACTGGGCTTTAATTTCTTAACTTTGACCCCCTTCTATTGCGAATATATGATTCAAAACCTCAGCCAAACTTTCAGTAAATCGATTGTTGTTGTTGTTATAGATTCAGTTACTCGGAACAAGTTCCAAGTAGCACCGGATATGGTGAGCCCGTAAAGTATATCGGGTTAGAGCAACACAACAATAATTCTTTAGAATTCACGCTCACTCGCGTTGATAATTTCAGCAAGTTCAGAGTCTTTTGTCTTATTTACTTTTAACAAAATGTTATTTCTGAACTAGGAAAATCTTGTTGTATGTTCAATTTAACATTTTCCAGATCCACGTGAAAATCCAGCTAAATATTATCAATATAATTATGTTGACCAATGTTATCGTACTGTTAACATAATTAATCTCACATTACTTCAAAGCGTTAATAATGTATAACTAAAGAAGATATATTTTTAAGAAGGCATTTACCGGAGTTATCGGTCGTTATATATTAGTGTAAATCGGGGACAACAAATCGGGGATGTGTTGTTATCCCCGTTTTACACAAATGTATAACGACCGATAACTCCGGTAAATGCCTTCTTAAAAATATATCTTCTTTAGTCATACATTATTAACGCTATGAAGTAATGTGAGATTAATTATGTCTAATAATATAACGTCACTTTTATTGATTTATAAAAAAAATATAACACCATAAGCAAAACAGTTTAATTATCAGAAATATATTTCTTGCGTAAATCACTGTCCCAACCCGCCAAACACACACCGAAACTACGACGTTGCTACAACGTTCGAACAAGTTTTAACACCACCTAACCAGTTATAACAACCAATATAGCAAGTTGTAACAACGTTCTAATACGTCATAAACACGTTAAGCCAAGATGTAACAACTTTATTACAAGTTGTAACAAGCGGAAAATAGAGACAGTGACGGTTTGTGTTTCCAGGGAAGAGCCGTCATTTTGAGGTTTACCAACAGAAGTTTTCTTTAGAAGCTGCTGGCAATGAATGATATACAAATACAAAACTTTGTAATACCTTAATTCAAGACATAATTCTAATATAACTTGCTGCAACGGATGTAGTTTGCTCTTACAAGCAATACAGTACCAGTATATTACATGAAACAGCCGTGTACGTTATCCAACATGTCTAAACAGTTAGGATATCTAGACATCCTTACAGCTTAACCTGGTACTTGCTTACATGACAAGCACGACAGGATAACAAGATAGATAGATACAATACACTTTGTACTGAACATGTTTGTTCGCAGAGGAAGCTATCCTGCTGGTTCTAAAGGTCGTATTTATGCACGTAATTATAGTGAATCGTAATTTAACATCATTTCTCCTTGAGTTAGTCCAACCACTTGAGATGGACGGTAGAACGACGGTCTCGCTTCATGCAGGTCGGCGTTCAATCCCCGACCGTTCAAGTAGTTGGACACCATTCCTTTTCCCCTGTCCCATCCCAAATCCTTATCCTGATCCCTTTCCAGTGCTATATAGTCGTAATGGCTTGGGACTTTCCCTAGATAATTCCCTTCGCCTCTCCATCAGTTAGAGGGGCACCGAACGTCTTGGACGTGACACAGACTCTAACGTTGGAGAACGGCTTAGACAGAGGAACGTGGGGCAATGTGGACCTCTGTCCCCTTGGATCCTTCGCCTTCGCTTTTGAAATCAAGGTAAGAATGCCAAGCAGTTTTCACATATATATATACGTTCATAGAATATATATATATATATATATATATATATATATATATATATATATATATATATATATATATAATATGCAATTGACGATCACAAAACACTGATCATTTTATGCGGAAAATCCACAGAGAAATATGAAATGAGGTGAACGTTTCGGCTTGTTAAAGCCTTTGTCAACACCAGACTGACTAAGGAGAAGGGAGAAGGGGGAATAGGCTTTAACAAGCCGAAACGTTCACCTCATTTCATATTTCTCTGTGGATTTTCCGCATATATATATATATATATATAATATATATATATATATATATATGAATGAAAACTCACACCCCAGAAGTGACTCGAACCCATACTCCCAGAAGCAGCGCAACTGGTAACTACAGGGCGCCTTAATCCGCTTGACCATCACGGCCGTCAAAAGGAAGTGATAGCCGAGGCTATTTGAGCCACTTCCCCGACGGCAACTCGGATGGTAATCTTGGGCATAGCATTTCACCAAATCACCTCATTCTTTGGGGCACACGTGAGGAACACAAATGCGAACAAGCCTGAATGGTCCCCAGGACTATATGCGAATGAAAACTCACACCCCAGAAGTGACTCGAACCCATACTCCCAGAAGCAGCGCAACTGGTAACTACAGGGCGCCTTAATCCGCTTGACCATCACGGCCGTCAAAAGGAAGTGATAGCCGAGGCTATTTGAGCCACTTCCCCGACGGCAACTCGGATGGTAATCTTGGGCATAGCATTTCACCAAATCACCTCATTCTTTGGGGCACACGTGAGGAACACAAATGCGAACAAGCCTGAATGGTCCCCAGGACTATATGCGAATGAAAACTCACACCCCAGAAGTGACTCGAACCCATACTCCCAGAAGCAGCGCAACTGGTAACTACAGGGCGCCTTAATCCACTTGACCATCACGGCCGTCAAAAGGAAGTGATAGCCGAGGCTATTTGAGCCACTTCCCCGACGGCAACTCGGATGGTAATCTTGGGCATAGCATTTCACCAAATCACCTCATTCTTTGGGGCACACGTGAGGAACACAAATGCGAACAAGCCTGAATGGTCCCCAGGACTATATGCGAATGAAAACTCACACCCCAGAAGTGACTCGAACCCATACTCCCAGAAGCAGCGCAACTGGTAACTACAGGGCGCCTTAATCCGCTTGACCATCACGGCCGTCAAAAGGAAGTGATAGCCGAGGCTATTTGAGCCACTTCCCCGACGGCAACTCGGATGGTAATCTTGGGCATAGCATTTCACCAAATCACCTCATTCTTTGGGGCACACGTGAGGAACACAAATGCGAACAAGCCTGAATGGTCCCCAGGACTATATGCGAATGAAAACTCACACCCCAGAAGTGACTCGAACCCATACTCCCAGAAGCAGCGCAACTGGTAACTACAGGGCGCCTTAATCCGCTTGACCATCACGGCCGTCAAAAGGAAGTGATAGCCGAGGCTATTTGAGCCACTTCCCCGACGGCAACTCGGATGGTAATCTTGGGCATAGCATTTCACCAAATCACCTCATTCTTTGGGGCACACGTGAGGAACACAAATGCGAACAAGCCTGAATGGTCCCCAGGACTATATGCGAATGAAAACTCACACCCCAGAAGTGACTCGAACCCATACTCCCAGAAGCAGCGCAACTGGTAACTACAGGGCGCCTTAATCCGCTTGACCATCACGGCCGTCAAAAGGAAGTGATAGCCGATATCACACTCACTTCTGGGGTGTGAGTTTTCATTCGCATATAGTCCTGGGGACCATTCAGGCTTGTTCGCATTTGTGTTCCTCACGTGTGCCCCAAAGAATGAGGTGATTTGGTGAAATGCTATGCCCAAGATTACCATCCGAGTTGCCGTCGGGGAAGTGGCTCAAATAGCCTCGGCTATCACTTCCTTTTGACGGCCGTGATGGTCAAGCGGATTAAGGCGCCCTGTAGTTACCAGTTGCGCTGCTTCTGGGAGTATGGGTTCGAGTCACTTCTGGGGTGTGAGTTTTCATTCGCATATAGTCCTGGGGACCATTCAGGCTTGTTCGCATTTGTGTTCCTCACGTGTGCCCCAAAGAATGAGGTGATTTGGTGAAATGCTATGCCCAAGATTACCATCCGAGTTGCCGTCGGGGAAGTGGCTCAAATAGCCTCGGCTATCACTTCCTTTTGACGGCCGTGATGGTCAAGCGGATTAAGGCGCCCTGTAGTTACCAGTTGCGCTGCTTCTGGGAGTATGGGTTCGAGTCACTTCTGGGGTGTGAGTTTTCATTCGCATATAGTCCTGGGGACCATTCAGGCTTGTTCGCATTTGTGTTCCTCACGTGTGCCCCAAAGAATGAGGTGATTTGGTGAAATGCTATGCCCAAGATTACCATCCGAGTTGCCGTCGGGGAAGTGGCTCAAATAGCCTCGGCTATCACTTCCTTTTGACGGCCGTGATGGTCAAGCGGATTAAGGCGCCCTGTAGTTACCAGTTGCGCTGCTTCTGGGAGTATGGGTTCGAGTCACTTCTGGGGTGTGAGTTTTCATTCGCATATAGTCCTGGGGACCATTCAGGCTTGTTCGCATTTGTGTTCCTCACGTGTGCCCCAAAGAATGAGGTGATTTGGTGAAATGCTATGCCCAAGATTACCATCCGAGTTGCCGTCGGGGAAGTGGCTCAAATAGCCTCGGCTATCACTTCCTTTTGACGGCCGTGATGGTCAAGCGGATTAAGGCGCCCTGTAGTTACCAGTTGCGCTGCTTCTGGGAGTATGGGTTCGAGTCACTTCTGGGGTGTGAGTTTTCATTCGCATATAGTCCTGGGGACCATTCAGGCTTGTTCGCATTTGTGTTCCTCACGTGTGCCCCAAAGAATGAGGTGATTTGGTGAAATGCTATGCCCAAGATTACCATCCGAGTTGCCGTCGGGGAAGTGGCTCAAATAGCCTCGGCTATCACTTCCTTTTGACGGCCGTGATGGTCAAGCGGATTAAGGCGCCCTGTAGTTACCAGTTGCGCTGCTTCTGGGAGTATGGGTTCGAGTCACTTCTGGGGTGTGAGTTTTCATTCGCATATAGTCCTGGGGACCATTCAGGCTTGTTCGCATTTGTGTTCCTCACGTGTGCCCCAAAGAATGAGGTGATTTGGTGAAATGCTATGCCCAAGATTACCATCCGAGTTGCCGTCGGGGAAGTGGCTCAAATAGCCTCGGCTATCACTTCCTTTTGACGGCCGTGATGGTCAAGCGGATTAAGGCGCCCTGTAGTTACCAGTTGCGCTGCTTCTGGGAGTATGGGTTCGAGTCACTTCTGGGGTGTGAGTTTTCATTCGCATATAGTCCTGGGGACCATTCAGGCTTGTTCGCATATATATATATATATATATATATATATATATATATATATATATATATATATATATATATATATATATATATATATATCAGTTGCATATGTGCTTGGGGACCACTCAAGCTTGTTCGCATATATATAGAGTGTGTATATCTCCACAAATTTGTAATAACACCGTGAAACTCAGATTGTAATGATTCTTTATATTAATTTTTAGTCCCTAACATTGAAAACGAGTGAGACTCCAAGCTAACAATATGTCTCCGGGGACTCACCCTCCAACTCAACAGACTCAAGTATGAAGGTCAATACTTTTAATCACTGGAGTAAATATTAACACTGGCAACGGATTCCTTTCGATCAATGAAGCCTTCAGGCGTCCTGAGGCGATGTTTAGTCCCCCTGGCGTACCTGGACAACATATAAACCAAAGTCACCAACATTTGCTGCAACAAATTAAACATAAAATATTACAGTACGATAATTCCCCTAAAATAATTAAAGTCAATGAAATATATAAATGTTTCGTTAACGATGACCAGCAAACACGAAATACTTCAATAATTACGCTGAGCGAGCGGCAATAGAAACCCGCAGAGCATCAATCAGGATAAGCAATAAAATACTCATCAATAAAAAGTAATATCACTGCAAACTGGCATTGACACGAAAATTACAAATAATAAAATCCTTATCCTTTTCGATATGATCCTGAGCCTTATATCTAAATGAAATGACATGTATTCAGTATGCTATTCCAATAGTTGCAGATGAAACATTGGTAAGATTGATGAGTCCGATGGCAGTCCTTAGGAGGAGACCCAACTCATGTATCAGGTCTCCTGACACTATATTATGTTTTAGATAATGGATTAATACACCTTTGTTGACCAAACTACAGTTAGAAAGTAAGGGGACGACGACGTTTCGGTCCGTCCTGGACCATTCTCAAGTCGACATGAGAATGGTCCAGGACGGACCGAAACGTCGTCGTCCCTTCACTTTCTAGTGTGTGGTCTGGTCAACATATTTCAGCCACGTTATTATGACTCCTCGTCTGCATTAATACACCATTGTTCCCATAGCGTGTGAGACACTTGGCCCCTGTGGTAAGAGTGCCTTGGGCTTTCTCAAATAATTGGTTTCCAGGCTCGTTGATTTCACTCTTGGGTCTGTAGACCAAAGGGCTGCCAGTTTATTGTTTTAGCGTCTCAGTGTAGCGATCCAGAGGGGAAACGCTTGCTGCGTCCTCGGTTCCTGTCCGGAAGCAGAGGACCTCCATGAGATTTATATCTTTTAAACACTTGTATTAACCAATGTACATCTTGTAACCTTAAATATATAATAAAGCACATCAAAACACAAAAGGAAGGGGGGTGGTAGGACAAGAAAACATGGAAACTGCATTGGATAGGACGTAAAAATTCCCTCTAATGCGTCATGTGTGCTTTTCTCCGAGGCTAAGGCTCCCCTTCATCCAGCCAGAGGTGGTACTCAATGATATATTGAATGTAATTTTCAATATATCACTGACGTACACAGTACCATATACAGTAGTAACTTCACCAACGACCAGAAATCGCTGCTGCTTTTGTGGTCTGCGGATCAAGACCCCGATGGTCTTGATATAGATACAAATATTTCACTGAAATATATTCTTGTAATTGAAAACGCATCCGTCAAGCTGAGTTACACTCTCATGTAATCTCTACTATTGACATTATTTCGTAACGTTAGTGACCGAACACATTTGTTCCGGCAAGCTGAAAACAATAATTGTTCTCATACTGTAATTTGTGTCTCGTATGATTTTCCTGTTTTCAAAATGTATATAAGGTTTTATTTATAAATTAAATTTGAAATATATAAAAATAAGGGAGGGAGTTTTCAGGGGAAAGCGCCAAGCCATTACGACTATATAGCACTTGGAAGGGGTCAGGATAAGGATTTGGAATGGGACGGGTGATGGAATGGTGCCCCACTACTTGGACGGTCGGGGATTGAACGCCAACCTGCACGAAGCGAGACCGTCGCTCTACCATCCATCCCAAGTGGTTGGGTTATTTATAAATGAGAAACCAACCATTTTGTTCTGATTCCAGACAAGGTAAGTTTTCAAGGAAAGCCATTTAACATCGAGTTTTGGTAGCTTAAGTGCTGAGGGTTAGTGGGTTGAGCTTGAGGTGAGAGATCTGTTGCAGTTCGCGGAGTTGGGCCACTTGGACGACACGGCACTGACGGGTATTAGGCTGTATTGTGGAGACTTCAACGGTAGCCCAACCGGCACCGTTTCCAGCAGCGAGGCGACCTATGGAGAGTGGCAAGGTGAGCACCAGTGGCAACACTGTCTTAAGGCATGGCCGAGCAGACAGAGTTAGGGAATCGTAGTCCAATTGTGTCCGGGTTCGATTCCCCGTCAAGGTAGAAAAAAATGGGCAGTTTCTTTCACCTGATGGGGCTATTCATCTTGGAATTAGACAACTGCTGTGGGCTGCATCTCAGCATTGTGTGTCAGTGTATGCATTTACTATTTGTTTGTATTTACTATTTGTGTCTGCAGAATCGAGCAATTAGCTCTTGGTCCCCGCCTTTCTAACCAATCTGTTTTTCGTTTATCGTTATTGTTGTTTAAGATTCGCTACTCGGAACAAAAAGTTCCAAGTAGCACGGGCTATGGTGAGCCCGTTGTTTCGTTTATCATATCACTACATATATTTCTCTCTAACACACATTCTCATCCCCAGTAAGTAGCCCGTAGGAGCTGTCTAACTCCCAGGCACCTATTTACTGCTTGGTGAACAGGTGCATTAGGCTGAAAGAAACTCTGCCCATTTGTTTCCGCCTCGGCCTGGAATCGAACCCGGGCCCTTGAGACTACGACTCCCGAGTGATGTCCACTCAGTGGCAAGACCCCCGTGCTGAGGCTGTGTATTCACCTAGTTGTATTCACCTAGTTGTGCTTGCGGGGGTTGAGCTCTGCTCTTTCGGCCCGCCTCTCAGCTGTCAATCAACTGATACCAACTACTAACTATTTTTTGCTCATCTGGGTATTAAGTTTCCACCTGTATTCCCTTGTTCGTACCCGTGCTAAAGAGTTTGTCTTAGTCCACCTTGTTAATGCCTTTGAGAATTTTGTAGGTGGTTATCATGTCTCCCCTTACTCTTTTGTTTTCCAGGGACGTGAGGTTTAGCTCCCGTAGCCTTGTGTGTAATTACCTAAGTGTAGTTACAGGATGAGAGCTACGCTCGTGGTGTCCCGTCTTCCCAGCACTCTTTGTCTTATAACGCTTTATATGACAAAGAGTGCTGGGAAGACGGGACACCATGAGCGTAGCTATCATCCTGTAACTACACTTAGGTAATTGTGTAGTTACACAATTAACTAAGGTGTGTGTGTGTGTGTGTGTGTGTGTGTGTGTGTGTGTGTGTGTGTGTGTGTGTGTGTGTGAGAGAGAGAGCATGTGTGTGTGAATTGTATAAATCCAACTTTTAACAAGTTACACTGAAGCAATTCTTCGATTCTCTGACATACGAAGGACCGCGGCAGTGTGCGTCAGGTAAATACCTGAAGAGCATGCGAGGCCAGGTGGTGCCAGAGCAGGGAGAATTCGGTGACGACCTCGGTCTCTACGACGCCCAGATGTCCTGCTCAGACGGTCAGGTTCTCGACGGTCTGGAGCTCTCAGCCCGCTTGCCCCTGAAGGTACTGTGTGTGTGTGTGTGTGTGTGTGTGTGTGTGTGTGTGTGTGTGTGTGTGTGTGTGTCCCCGCGTCGACACAGTCTTTATTACTTACTGACACACCCAGCATCACTTTACTACCTGCGTCACAGTTAAATAAATTTATAATTTATACTTAATTCACTTGATTACTTAAGTACATAAATATTAGCTTCTGAATTGTTGTACTTTCTTGACGTTATTATTTAATACAATAACACTTTGGCTTGATTTTTATACTTGGTTGCTTGTTCAAAAACAAAGAAGCCCCAGATGCTCAATTAAATCATGCTGATTCGATTGCGTTTAAGCTCATTATGGCTCAGTAGGTAGTGCCTGTGTCTATGGAGTCGAGGGGCATGAACTCCATCCCAACCCAGTACTGAATCTACATAAGGGCAGCTAACACTCTAGGAGCCTCAACGAGGACAGGAAGCCGACGGCTTGCCAAAAATCCAGACCAAAATGCAAATCCAGATACGTTATTTAAAAGCAAAAAAATCTGGCAATATAAATTTGTTTCCTGTTGTCATGGTCAAGCAAATTATTTTTGTGACTTTTAGAGTGAATCTCACCATTCTGTCTATTACTCATGGCATAGAGTATAGATATACTCATGGCATAGAGTATAGATATACTCATGGCATAGAGTATAGATATACTCATGGCATAGAGTATAGATATACTCATGGCAAAGAGTATAGATATACTCATGGCAAAGAGTATAGATATACTCATGGCATAGGTCCTTAATTATATTTCCATATAACCAAATTTGTTGGTTATATAGAACAGTCCTCTGTGGCCTGCCTAGTCTTAGATGTGCCAAGGGTGTTGAGTATTCGTGTCACCTCTTTGGATTATTTGGATGTCCGACCGTCTGCTTTCAACACGATGACACATAAAATTATTATTTATTCATTTCTAAACTTGGCTCTTTAGTTAACATGAGTGCCACAGCCAGGTCAGGCACTCTTCTGAGGCCTTTTGAGGTCAAGATCACCTCTTGTGTGCCATTAATTATCATCTCAAGGCCCACAGCGACCCAATTCCTATATTACGATTCTAGATGAACTTCAATTTCATACTTATCACGTCAGACTTATTTTGTAGACTTGAAAATCAGAAACATTTGGAAAGTATAATTTTTTTTAGGGCGAATTTTCTCAGTACTAATTTTCTATGTTGTGCAAATTCCCCACAGAAACTTACTACATAGCAAAGCTTGAATGCAATAAGGGTGAACAAGTGAGTTCCTTAGCTGGATCAAGATATAAATTTGAAGAAAAAAATCTAAAAAAACTAGTTAAATTTTATTGATTCTTATATTAATAATGTTAAATTATGTTGACGTGTGTATACGATTACGTTTTTGTAATCTTATTTAGAGCACACAACTAGATGCACTGAACTTTGCAGAGCAATAAGCAACAGCAGCTGAGAGTGACGGAAGATGGAAGAGTGGTTGAGGTCGTTCACTTGAAGACTGGGCTAAGAGGTGAGGCTGGTATTGTTCACGAGTTCTCATTGAACACATAGTGATGTTTCTGACAGTCATATTGAACACATACAAGAACATTATGTTTAATAAAGTATATTAATATGATGAATTCCGATAATATTTATGTTAAAATCAGAAAGTATATATCGTATTCATTACCATTTGGCTAATATAACGGATCTCGGCTTGAATGACAGTGTAGAGCATAATGGTCAGTGTGACAGCTTGTCGGGCCTTGGCCAATATGACAGTGTCGGGCCTTGGCTAGAGTAGGCCCTTGTCTATTAAGAGTGTTGGACTTTGGCTAGTAGGAGAGTGTAGGATCTTGGCTAGTTGACAGTGTAGGCAAAGCTGTTCTCTCTGCAGAAGGAAGAGTGAAGTTAGTGGGTGACGGAGTGTGGAGTCTCTGGGCCGAGTGCTCTGGCACCAGCAGGATCTGTGGCCTGCAGACCAGGGTGGAGCCAGACGAAACCTTCACTGACGACGCTGGAGTTTGCGACCTCATCATGTTCTGCTGTAGCTACTAGAGCTCCATCCTCACCCGACACCTCACCAGCTGGCTCACCGGGCTGTCGCCACTTCATGATCTTCATTGTTTTTGGTCTAAGAACTCCTGCTTGTGCCCGAAGCCTCTGGGTGGCTGCTGGTCAATGATCTGCTCAACCAATCAACAACTAACACCTATTTTAGGAGTTGCTTATCTTGGTCTTCAGGTGAGCTTGGAGAAATTGCAGGTACATGAATACTGTCCTCAATCGTCGCCTCTGGGCAGAGTAATAATATGTAGCAATAAAATGAAAATTCAGTATAAAAGAAAATTTTAAAATGGAAGGTAAGACCGAGTATATGTGTGTGTTCTAAAAACCATATTTTCGGAGGTAATGTGCAACCCTTCTCAATGTACTGTATACATAGTGTTTGTAAAGTTATATAGTAGACACTGTATACAACACCTTTAAAAAAGGTGTAAGTTGCATCCGAAAACTTGTTTTTTTTAATACACATACACATATTTTGGGTGTTTCCTACACCTTCATTCAAGCACTACGTCATTGTAGTAAGTTTATTCACTAAAAATATTCAGATAATATCTGAATATATTGAATGGTCTCGTGTGAGGATGCCAGATGTTCCTTGATGATGATGAATGAAGAACACGGCCAGTGAACGACACTCATTCATGAGGAAGAAGGCAACATGGATCAACATATGTTGACGTAACTATCGGAAAATATTGATAATAAGTTCCACAAACAGTTGGGGAATGAGTGAAATTATTTCGGTGATATGACGTTCCCAAAGTTTGAGTGGAAGAAAATTATGGAAATAAAGAGAAAACGACTACTTTTCAGCCTTTATTTTATGACCTTATTATTCAAAATGCTCACCTGGAGGTTCTTAGTAATGCATCCACATCTCTCATATAAGTTATAAAGAAATTGGAAAAGACCTATTGACTAATGCGAGTCAGCTCCTATTGGCCCATTCGAGATAGATCGATAGCTCCATTAGTATAGTAGGAGCATTAGTAGTAGGCTTAATAGCAGCAGTATTAGGAACAGCTGCATTAGTATAAGTAGGAGTAACAATAGAATAAGTGTTAATAAACAAATCCACAAGGGCCGTGACGAGGGTTCGAATCTACGTCCGAGAGTATTCCAGATGCTGCCTTAGTCATTTGTTCATTTGATGCATCACACTATTGTGATTTCTGAGTGTAAGTGTTGATAGTTACAATTCTCTATTTATGTCAATCACTAATCTCTCTATTCGGAGAGCCGGTCGGCCGAGCAGACAGCACACTGGACTTGTGATCCTGTAGTCCCGGGTTCATTCCCGGGCGCCGGAGAGAAACAATGGGCAGAGTTTCTTTCACCCTATACCCCTGTTACCTAGCAGTAAAATAGGTACCTGGGTGTTAGTCAGCTGTCACGGGCTGCTTCCTGGAGGTGGAGGCCTGGTCGAGGACCGGGCCGCGGGGACACTAAAGCCCCGAAATCATCTCAAGATAACCTCAACAACCTCTAATATTCCAAACTAACACATTAGAATTAATGACAAATATTACTGCCACACACACAAGCAAAATATTAAAGAAATAAACACAAACTCTCACAGTTGTTTTTGGCCATTGTATGTCTTAAATGGCCATGAAAGTCGGGAGGGAGACCAAATGGTCGGGAGGCCTGGTCGACGACCGGGCCGCGGGGACGCTAAGCCCCGGAAGCACCTCAAGGTAACCTCAAGGAAAGGCCTTGTTTTGCCTGGCCTTCGATTTCGGGATCACATCTGGCAGTTTGACGTTAACGACCTGTTTGGCAATTGCCAGATTCCAGGCACAGGCGGCCTGGGGACCCCTAACAACACTCACATACGAGCCGCTCTGCAATTTAAGATTTCTCAGAAAACAATTTTATTTTATGTATTTTTATTTTTTTTTATTTTAGGTGAGTATTGTGAGAGTGTTGAAGTCTAAGATAATATTGAAATGTAGAACCGGTGTTCATTATTATTATTATTATTATTATTAGTATAATTTGTATTATTAGAAGTATTTTTATTTAAATTTTAAATTTTTATTACACTTCTTTTTATTATTATATGTATAATTGAATAATTGTTATTACCTGTATAATTATATATATGAAGAAGGGATATACATTTTGATAGGTATACCCAGCCTCTCAAGTGTATAGTATATTCTCTAGAGTTTGCTTTGGTATTCCACATTGTTCAGAGCTATAGTATACTCGCCGGTCAATCAGGCATGTGGCAGCGTCTCCCTCTTTTCATAGACCTAATAAACCACACACACTAAATTTTAAAAACATATTTAAACACCGCTATTTCTGGGAAAACACTGGCGAATTAAGATCACGGTAGGAAGACGTCTTCTCCTGCAGTCCACACCTGGCGGAGAATCTTGGGTCTTGCGTTCGAGGCTTTCCCGGGGCAAATTATATTGGAAGTTCAATTCACAGAATCCGACAGGAGGAAGTTATAACCCGTCGGCCTCTAGCAAATACCGACTGTTGTTTGGTTGGAAGTTACACCTAGGGGAAAGTATTTTGGTTGAAAACAAAGTATTGTTTTCAAAATTTCATGAGAGTACATTTGTGAGTATGATACACTTGTGAGCACAAGCTAAGACTGGGGTCGGACCTCTCGATTTGTGAGTCTGAGATGCCGCCCGGTTGGCTCACATGGTTCCTGCCAACTACGAGTTGTCCACGGCGTTGGGCCAGGTGCGTAACTTTGAGGCTGTTGGCCTTGTACATAACAGTAAGACCACCAATGACACGACGGTGTTGGAGGCTCTGATGTTCAAACCGTTCTCACTAGACATGGTTAAGAGAGATAAACTTTCGTGCCCGTGTCTCCACTGTGACCAACAGTGTGATGAATGGTGACGGGGAGGGGGGGCAAGGGGCAGGCGGTCCAGGAAAGGGTGCATACTGTAGATGAGAGTGAACTTGTGTTTCTCACTCTCTCGTTATCGCTTTCTCTCTCTCTCTCTCTCTCTGTCTCTCTCTCTCTCTCTCTCTCTCTCTCTCTCTCTCTCTCTCTCTCTCTCTCTCTCTCTCTCTCTCTCTCTCTCTCTCTCTCTCTCTCTCTCTCTCTCTCTCTCTCTCTCTGTCTCTCTCTCTCTCTCTCTCTCTCTCTCTCTCTCTCTCTCTCTCTCTCTCTCTCTCTCTCTCTCTCTCTCTCTCTCTCTCTCTGTCTCTGTCTCTCTCTCTCTCTCTGTCTCTGTCTCTCTCTCTCTCTCTCTCTCTCTCTCTCTCTCTCTCTCTCTCTCTCTCTCTCTCTCTCTCTCTCTGTCTCTCTCTCTCTCTCTCTCTCTCTCTCTCTCTCTCTCTCTCTCTCTCTCTCTCTCTCTCTCTCTCTCTCTCTCTCTCTCTCTGTCTCTCTCTCTCTCTCTCTCTCTGTCTCTCTCTCTCTCTCTCTCTCTCTCTCTCTCTCTCTCTCTCTCTCTCTCTCTCTCTCTCTCTCTCTCTCTCTCTCTCTCTGTCTCTTCTCTCTCTCTCTGTCTCTGTCTCTCTCTCTCTCTCTCTCTCTCTCTCTCTCTCTCTCTCTCTCTCTCTCTCTCTCTCTGTCTCTCTCTCTGTCTCTCTCTCTCTCTGTCTCTCTCTCTCTCTCTCTGTCTCTCTCTCTCTCTCTGTCTCTCTCTCTCTCTGTCTCTCTCTCTCTCTCTCTCTCTCTCTCTCTCTCTCTCTCTCTCTCTCTCTCTCTCTTTCTCTGTCTCTGTCTCTCTCTCTCTCTCTCTCTGTCTCTCTCTCTCTCTCTCACCTTCCTCTTCTTGCCAGCGTGCCGTCGTTCCCTCTGGGGCCCGTAGGTCACCCCCAACAGAGAACAAGGGAAGGCACTTCCTGCCCCCGGCACCAAGCCCGCCACTTCTCTCACCCTCTTGGCGACTCTCACCTTCCTCAAAACTTTATCGTGCCTGTTTTTGTATAATTTATGTGATTCTTTATCATATATGGTAATCAGAGTTACGGAAACAACGTGGCAGATGAATTAAATGATCTTAGATTTTTTACTTAAAAATGCCTATATGTCTGTAAAAATAATTCATTATATATTGTAAAGAAGAAGTAAGTTCTAATAATATTATTCATTGAGAGGATATTTTTGTAGTGTGCTGAAGATAAATGTATGAATATCGGAAAATGGCGAACATACGTTGTGGTGGATGAAATAAACTTAGTATAAGCAAGTTTGGAAATTTATGCCATTTAATTATTGCAAGGATTTTCTATTTTCTTAGTTTCTCTTGAAACTTGTCTCAAGGTTATATAAAATTTCCTGTACTTTTTGGCCTCATATAGCACACTAATCTTAATCTTAAGTAGCACTGTCTTATATCCCTATAGGTTTGCAGATTCTTTTATATCAATATAGCTTATCAAGCTTCTTCGCATCTGTGTTACGTGGCCCCAACAGCGAGGCGATTCGATGAAATATCAGTATCATAAAATTTAGCATCGAGTGCTGTCAGGGTGTTGGGTAAAGGGTCTCACGACTTCCAAACATTTTGTACAGTCCGTGTGGACTAGCGGTATAGTACTGGATACGCTAAGGTGCATGGAAGCCTGGCTGTCTGGGTTCGAATCCTTCAGGGATGAGGAATTTTCATTTATATATATATATATATATAATATATATATATATATATGTAGGAAAAGATGACCAGGTGTTACCCAGTCTTGAGGAAGCATCAAGAAAACTCCATATATATATATATTAATCTTATGGCGTTTATTTTATGTTAAACTCAAAGACATGTCAGGTACAGACCACTAAAACCAGGAGTCGTCCAGTATAGGCGTGAGAGGGGAGGGTCGTCGTACATTGCAGAGGCGAGTGGATTTTCCAGTGTGAGGGGGAGAGGGTCGTCCAGTGTAGCGGTGAGGGGGTCGTCCAGCGAACGGATTAGGGAGATCGACCAGCATACGGCTGAGGAGGTCGTCTAGGGGACGACTGAATGGGTCGTTAAGTATTGGGCTGAAGGGGTCGTTCAGTGTACGGGTGATGAGGGTCGTCTAGTGCAGGGGCGAGGGAGTCGTCGAGCGTACGAATGAGGGTGTAGTAGGGCGTAAGTCTGAAGGGGTCGTGGAGAGTACGTCTGAGGGGGTCGTCTGGTCTGGGGGCTAGTGGATTGTCCAATGTCTAGAAGAGGTGATCGTTAAGTATAGGGATGAAGGGGTCGTCCAGTGTAGAGGTGAGAGAGATCTTCCAGTGTCATAGGGTCGTCCAGTATTGGAGGCCATGGGGTCGTCCAGTAATGGGGCCCATGGGGTCGTCCAGTGTCACAGGGTAGTCCAGTAATGGGGCCCATGGGGGTCGTCCAGTGTAGTCGTACATGAGGTCGTCAGCAGGACGCGTCCTAAAGCATGGTGACTTGGAAGACAGACATAATATTAAAATTAATAACTAAAAATATATGATAATTGCTTCGTTATTGTCTTTTCAAGAATCCATAAATGACTTGTATACATAAAAATTTTACTTAAAAATAACTTTACAAACATGTATACAAAGAAAGCGAATTCCTCACATTGGACTTAATTAGTACAGGTCACAGACACTGTTCTGAAACACACTCATATATACGTATATACATAAGATATGTACATGTTCATTCTATATTCTTTAGCTATATATGTATTCATGGAGTATGTGGTCTCATAATGTTGGGAAGAAGACTAACACTGCAAAATTTACATTAATTACACACATTAACTCGCTGGAAAGATGTCCAATATGGTACTATATGTATATATATAGATTCTCCTTCGTGCAAACCCACAGAGAAGAGCTAGGAAAATACAATATATCACTTTGAAAGTCGCACGACCTGGGGGAGCTGAGGGACGAAGATCCAAGTCGACATGAACACTAACATACGAGGTCTAGCCCCATGGGATACTCGCCGAGGGATATAACACAGGATATTAGTGTCTTTATACCAGAATCTTACTCAACAGACACTCAACTTCCACCCAACTTTGCCAAAAGTAGCCACGTTGGGTGACAACTTTATTGACCACTGGTGTCCAGTGGTCAATAAAGCTCAAGGACTTGACAGCAACTTGTTCAAAGCCATTAATCCCCGTACACTAGTAAGGTGTACATTGTAACCACCGGTGAAGATATACATACTCATCAACTAATGTATACTCACAGTGTTTACGGATAATGATGAATATATTCATGGTGCAAGCTAGGAGTAAATGTGCACACACAAATTGCACATTAGGAAAGGTGTACATACTCATGATGTACAATGGGAACGGTGTACACACATTCTAAGGTACACAGATTCATCACGGTACACAGACTCATCACGTTAAAAAGATTCATTATGGTACACAGATACATTATATGGTACGCAGACTCATTGTGTTATTCAGATTCATTCTAGTGCACAGATTCATTATGATATACTGATTCATCACAAAATACAGATTTTATTACTGTATATCACAGCATACAGACTCATCACAGTATACAGACTAGTCATGCAATACCAAATTTATCACGGTATATGGATTCATCAATGTATACAGATTCATCACGGTACACATACTCATTACGGTACACAGATTCATCACGGTACACATACTCATCAAGAACACGCTCTCGTCACAGTCACTGAAGAGTACATAGTCATCAATGTGTACAAACACACTTCTCAGGAGGCCCTAATTAATTACGGTGTACAAACGCACTCTACATGGTACTCACACACACACACACACACACACACACACTCTACATGGTACTCACACACACACACACACACACACACACACTCTACATGGTACTCACACACACACACACACTCTACATGGTACTCACACACACACACGCACTCTACATGGTACTCACACACACGCAATCTTCATTGTGCATTCACGCAATCTTCATGGTGCATATATTCAGCAGATATGTAAATTTTTTACAGTTCTCATTGATCAAGATTCTCATCAAGAATATTCACTCAGGATCATTCACTCATCAAGCAACATTCATTCATCAAAGAACATTAATTCAACAAGTAACAATCACTCATCAGAGGAACATTTACTCATCAATGAATATTCACTCATCAATGGAACATTCACTCATCAAGGAACATTCCCTCTTTAAAGATCATTCACTCATCGATAAAGAGTGATGCATCATGAGGTAGACTCTCATCTCATGCACTCAGCCATCAAGAGAAGACACTTACTAATATGGACTTATTAAGGTTTATACACTAGTCAAATTGTGTACCTTCTAAAGAGTCCATTCACTCAACAAGATGAAGAAGTTATTAAAATGAAGATCTCATGGTGTGAATGTTGAGTAAAAATGTAGGTTCTCCTCCAAGTGTATTCACTCTTCACGTTGTACTCACTTCTCGAGGAGTACATGCTATTCAATGTGTTCTATTTCCTCGAGGTGTTCTTCTTAAAGGTGAGCCTAATTTTGAAAGTGCATTTAATCTTGGATTTGCACTCATTCTCGAAGGTGCACTCAGTTTTGAAAGTGCATTCAATCTTGAGGGGTGCACTTATGTTTTAAGTTGCATTCATTCTTAAATCTGCACCCATTCGAAGGTGTTACCAACATTCTACATTATGTTGGTAATGTATATACCCTATATATATATATATATATATATATATATATATATATATATATATATATATATATATATATATATATATATATATATATAATCATTAAGAACTCTTTGACCCGGCCAGGATTCGAACCCATGCCGTCTAGGATCACCCCTAAACGTACACAGTACCGTGACCACTGCACCAATGATCGTCACTAATATAGACGATCATTGGTGCGGTGGTCACGGTACTGTGTACGTTTAGGGGTGATCCTGGACGGCATGGGTTCGAATCCTGGCCGGGTCAAAGAGTTCTTAGTGATGTATGGCTTGCGCGTTCATGCAGCTTTCTCACACACATATATATATATATATATAGGGTCCTAGAAACCCCACACCACTATATACAGGTCGTGAACCGTTCTGACAATAATCTGTTATACGGAAGGAATATAAAAACCTTCGTAATCCTGTTGTATGGAACGAGATTATCTGGCGATTATCTAGCGGAACCATGAGTACTGTATAGCCATCAGTGATGACCTCAGCTGGCTGTAAGTCCTTTAACAACAGGTACAGACGAGTCATACCGTGGAAATGATATGATAGAATACGAAGGTTGGCCTCATTAAGTTACAAACCAGTTAGTTTCGCTATTCAACTACAGGGTTACCTAGATGAATGCACCGTCTAGACGTAAAAGAGGATTGAGGAAGAATCAGGAATCATTATGAGTGCCACCTGCACCTGAGAGCCTCAAGCCGCCAACATCCCAGTAAGGTTACTGCCAGCAGTGAGGTGAGAGAAGCCGCAGTGTTGCAGTCTCTCTGAAAAATTACAGCTGACGAGGAAGCTGACGATGACGAGGAGGACGAAGGAGGCGAGGAAGAGTCGTCTTCCAGACTTGGGTTCTGGAGTCGTTTGGTGGTCTGTCGCTGCTGAGAGATGGGGGTTCTGGCGGGATACTTGCGATGGTCGTCGTGGTCGTCCTGGAGGGCGCCTGAGGCGTCTGCAGGGAGACAGGGAAGTATATATATATATATATATATATATATATATATATATATATATATATATATATATATATATATATTTATATATAATGGGTGAAAATTACGAAAATTAACACGTGATGAAAAATGTGACAGTGTCAGACCACGGAGGAAGAACTGAAACAGTAATTTCCTTAATTCCTGTTTCAATTCTTCCTCCGTGGTCTGACACTGTCATATATGATATATTTTAGCATGACAAGTGTGCATATTGATGAGTCTCACCATTGTCTTTGCTCCAGTTGACGGCAGAGAGGGAGGGCTTGCCATAGGTGTGTTCCTTCATCTCGAACCCTGCCAAGGAAACCAGCGCATATTAAACGTTGTGCCGGGCGTTACCTAAAGTAGTCTATGTTCACGTGTTTACTCCCTAACCTCTTGCTGGGTATTGTCAGTTATTCCTCAGCTTAATAACTCTATCTTATCCCCATAGTACTTTTGTTATCTGTTTCTGTCTATTTTATACTAAGAATCTTCAAGAAAGTTATATTAGAGTTCTCGTAATGGACAGGCGAAGAGTCACAATAACGTGGCTGAAGTATGTTGACCAGACCACACACTAGAAGGTGAAGGGACGACGACGTTTCGGTCTGTCCTGGACCATTCTCAAGTCAACTTGAGAATGGTCCAGGACGGACTGAAACGTCGTCGTCCCTTCACCTAGTGTGTGGTCTGGTCAACATACTTTCTCCTAATGTGGTTTTGGCATGCGTTTTCCCGTGCTAATTCCTAAGTTCTCCATGATAATATGAAAAATTCCTAGCACTGCACTCAGTTTTGTGGTGCTTCTGGTTCCTCATATATATGTTGTTAAAGATTCGCTACCTGGAACATAAAGGTCCAAGTAGCACGGGCTATGGTGAGCCCGTAAGCCTTAATAATATATATATATCAGTTGTGGTGACGGATGATTGTCTCCTGTCCTTTTAAAGTACTTGTTTACACGCTTTAAATATCAAAGCGATAATACAATCCATGAAAACCCAGAGGCTGTTTTCTTCTGTCTCAAATGAGATTGTAGACCTATATCCCATTCTTATTAGTTAACTAATAGTTTGCAGCTACAAGAATGTCGAATACTTGGCTATTTTGCTGTTATTTCGTATAATAAGATTTATTGAACTGACTCACAAAATAAATCTATATTTATATGCTCGGGGTGCAACTGTACAAATTTAATACTATATAGATTAAATAATTTGTAAATATACACTCGTGAAGACTAATGACCAGACGTCTCAATATATTAGGTAGTTAGGTAGAAGTTTATATGATCTTGTATGGTAAAAACCTACAAATTGGACGCTTGTCACAACGCGAGAGCAACTTTTTGCATAAATATGTTTTGAACTTCAGAAAATGACACCATTCGACATCACACCTGTCCAGTAGAACCTTAGTTTAATGTTATGTGGCAGTGAAAAAGTGCCAGTGAACAAATGTTCATAAAGGTACAGTACTTGCCCTCCCTCTCTCCGCTTATTGGTCCAAGTGCTCATCTCTGTGGAGTTAATAGCATTACATTCCTAATTGTATAGGTTAATTAGCTCCCTATAGATGTTGACCAGACCACACACTAGAAGTTGAAGGGACGACGACGTTTCGGTCCGTCCTGGACCATTCTCAAGTCGATTGTGAATGTCACGATTCTCACGTCACAATCGACTTGAGAATGGTCCAGGACGGACCGAAATGTCGTCGTCCCTTCAACTTCTAGTGTGTGGTCTGGTCAACATACTTCAGCCACGTTATTGTGACTCATCGCCTCCCTATAGATATCCAAGAGTGCAATCCAATTATATAACGTCCTAATACGTAATGCTTCCCTGTAGCATCTTGAACTCCCTCACTGAAGAGGTCCGGCCGATCCACCCTTCACTGAAGAGGTCCGGCCGATCCACCCTTCACTGAAGAGGTCCGGCCGATCCACCCTTCACTGAAGAGGTCCGGCCGATCCACCCTTCTCCTACAACTCCCTCTTCCATCACCCTGTCCTCAGAGTGATGGAATTACGGACTCACCTTTCTCGAGGGCGTTGCGATTGTTCTGAAACGGAGGAGAGGCGGAGACTCTGACTACCTGCTCGGCGCCTCCCTGGCTGTTGTTGGCGATACAGTTGTATTCTCCATTGTCGGCTCGGGTGACCTCGGTGATGGTGAGGAGCATGTGGGTCTTGTACTTCTGCGACCCCACCACCTCCTTCACCTCGTACCTGTCATAAAGCAACACACACATTTTGTGTTTGATTTGGCTACTCGGAACGAAAAGTTCCTAGTAGTACGGGCTATGGTGAGCCTGTAGTGGACTTACCTGGCACAGGAGCGGGGCAAGTAGCACGGGCTATGGTGAGCCCGTAGTGGACTTACCTGGCACAGGAGCGGGGCAAGTAGCACGGGCTATGGTGAGCCCGTAGTGGACTTACCTGGCACAGGAGCGGGGCAAGTAGCACGGGCTATGGTGAGCCCGTAGTGGACTTACCTGGCACAGGAGCGGGGCTATATCATATGTGCAAAAAAAAAAACATACACTTGTTATATTTCTCCTAGTAATGCTACACTACACATGATAATAGAGACACGTGAACACCAGTGACCTTACAGTGCAATTCAAGCAATCAATTTACTCACAAATGTTTGTTTTTTACATTTGTTGTCGAATTAGTTTACACAAATATATATTTTAAATCAACTTTTTCCTCAAACAACAATGTTATTTTTAGGAAAAGATAGAATGTAACTAGTTGATTTATTACACATAAATGCAATAAGTTTGCAAATAAGATTAATCACAAAAATATCATTTATCACATCTTAAAAATATATCCACATTTGTATTACTGTACTTTTAATGAGACGTTTAGATTCTTATGTATATGTGAAGACAGTCGACAGGTGACTTAACCATTTACCTTTTAAGTTGTACTAAACGAACAATGCTTCACTAACTTATCGTCAGAGTGGAGGACCTCGATGCCGTTCGGTCTCTTCCAGTAGTTAAGTCCAGCCGGCCAAGCCTCTATGTAGCACTCTATGGTCACGTCCTGGCCCAGCGGTACCCCTACAAGCTGGTGCGGGACATACACCGTCGGCAGAACTGTGAGGAAGACTCTAAAGTTAATATCACTCACAATACCTCACTCAAATGAGGTTTTGTGAGGGATGTTAACTAGAGTTCCTCAAGCTCTCACCGGCAGCGAGACTCTAAGGATGGCTCTAGTTAATATCCCTCACAATACCTCATCATTCAACAGGGCTAGCGGTCAATATGGGAGCTGAAATCTTTTTAAAGTGTTTGCTTCAGTAAAGCCATTTAGCTGTCTAATACTCCCGTTTAAATGTTCTAATATTCTTTCCAAGTCTTAAGCTTCAAACTCAATCCTTTATTGACTAGCTTTACTATTTTGGTATTTTCAACACGGAATTAATTTTTTTTAATTTCTTTAGTTCATCTATACACTTTATTCACATACATATCATGCTGTATGCTTATCATTACATTTCACATTGTTATTATTTAACATTCTTCATGTTTATAAGTCACTGTCAACATAGAAAGGTGAAACAATTTTTTTATTTTCAGTCTCCTTTAACTAGTATCTGTGCCAGTTTCGTGCAACAACTACTGGTAAATTCAGGAAATTACCTCTAGACGAAACAGACCTTTCCATTAACCAATTTATGTTCAACTCAAATGAGCATCTACGAATATTACTAATATGGAAGTTTATTTCATAAAACTCAGTGGAGCCGTTGAGGTACTTCTGGCAATCTCTTTTTTTATATCTCTTTTTCATGGATACTAGTTCCTGTGGTGGGCCCCAAGGCTGTGGTGGGCCTAGAGTAACAGTAAAGAGTAAGCATTCAAGGAGTCACAATAACGTGGCTGAAATGTTGACCAGACCACACACTACAAAGTGAAGGGACGACGACGTTTCGGTGCGTCCTGGACCGAGTCTTGAGAATGGTCCAGGACGGACCGAAACGTCGTCGTCCCTTCACTTTCTAGTGTGTGGTCTTACTAGTCAACAGTAAAAAGTAACACTAATTTTTACTATTTTACAGTACTTAGGTACTAAGTGCCTTACTTAGGCGGTGGTTAAGTATTCAGAACGGGTTCAGTAAGATTATGGTCAATGTCTTTAGTTTGTCCACTTCCCCAACTGTCTCACATTCCTTCCTTTTATCATAATACTCTTCTCAGATAAAAATGTATTTTTAACTCCCCAACTGGGTATAACGTCTTTCTGTGCAAATCCAGTCGTTCTGTTCACGGTTTTCTGCCTTTCGATCCTTGTTTGTGTGAAACATAGTCATTACTCTCGTAAGATAACATTGTTATTCACTTGGCTGTTGTAATTATTTTGGATAATATAGGAAAGGCGATAATTGTTGATCGGCACGACAATTATGAGGGGAAAGCACTAGTCAGTACGACTATATAGACTTGGGAGGGATTTAAGGGCAAGGAGCTGGGATATAAGTACAAGGAGCTGGGATATAAGGACAAGGAGCTGGGATATGAGAACTGTGGAAAGAAACGATGCCTAACCACTTGGAATATCGAGGACCGAACCCCCACTTTGCAAGAAGCGAGGCGGCTGCTTTACCGACCAGTCTAAATGGTCGTGGACCGGATACGCTCCGGCTAGCCAGATAACGTAGTAGCACTTTGCTTCCAGTTCCAGATATCTCCGCTATCTTATCTGTTGCTCTCTGCAATGTTTACATACAAATTCTTGCGCATACTCCTCACACAGCTGCTTGCCTCGACCCCAGGTCCTGTCGCAGGCGAGGAGAGAGTACTAGCCACTACACCACAGGATATTACCGACAATGTACACAACTCATGGATACATGTATAGTGCATTTTATATAGTAATAGATTTGTTTGGTGTAGTGATGAAAGCGGTGAATAGTGGTTTAGGGTTAGTTGTTTATAATACAATGTAGTGTATTATGGTGCAATGGGTTGTGTATGGTGCATTGTGATGTATGGTGCACTCTGTGCAACGTTGTGAAGCTAGAGTTGTGCAGTGTGAGAGGATGAGCTCAGTATAGTTAGTTGTCCATATTGTTTTGCATAATGTAGTAAACTTAGTTTTGTATCCTGCTGTGAGGTTAAATTCTTATCAATTAATGAATTAATGTTAAGGAAGGAGTGAAGTTAGCTTCGTAGAAAGTAGTGAAGTTAGTTTTCTGGTGTGATTTGTTGGATAGCCTCGTACAGAATGTAAAGATAGGTTGTATGTTGTTCGTATATTTGGCTGTGGAAATAATGCTCACTTGTCGTGGCAGGTGACAGTTTGGCAATGTTCTGATGAGTTGCTTATCTTGAGATGATTTCGGGGCTTTTTAGTGTCCCCGTGGCCCGATCCTCGACCAGGCCTCCACCCCTAGGAAGCAGCCCGTGACAGCTGACTAACACCCAGGTACCTATTTTACTGCTAGGTAACAGGGGCATAGGGTGCAAGAAACTCTGCCCAATGTTTCTCGCCGGCGCCTGGGATCGAACCCAGGACCACAGGATCACAAGTCCAGCGTGCTGTCCGCTCGGCCGACCGGCTCCCTAAAGGGCATTGTAGGAACAGAAATTGTATACAAAATAGTTATTAAATCTGTTCCATCATACAATGCCGCCTGAAGCTCAATAATAACCATACATATCGCTTCACACAACACATGTAAGAAAGTAAATAACCCGTCAAACTGCAAATCTAAAGATTGGCTTGTCTTACACAGACCTAAATACCTTTGTTGTTGTTATAGATTCAGCTACAGGGAACAAAAGTCCCAAGTAGCACGGTCTAAGGTGAGCCCGTAGTGGACTTGACTAAACACCGGCATACTCACATTTAACTTCAACTTGGATTCGCTTGCTGACGGAAGGAGGGATGCCATTGGAGGCTATGCACAGATAGGCCCCCATGTCCGTCCTGCCGACCTGTGTCAACTGCAGCAGCGGCCCCGGCACCTCCACTGTAACACAACACAGTATTACCTTTATTGGTGAAGCCGCTGCCTTGAAGAATTCCAGCGCATACATTATTTATATGTGTGTGTTTATTCGTAATGGAAACAGAAAGAACTCTGCCAATTCTGCACTGACACACACACACACACACACACACACACACACACACACACACACACACACACTCACTCACTCATGGATACACAGTTTCAAGTGTAGATATGATAGAGCCCAATAGGCTCAGGAATCTGTACACCTTGTTGATTGACGGTGGAAAGGCGGGACCAAAGAGCCAGAGCTCAACCCCCGCAAACACAACTAGGTGAGTACAATTAAGTGAGTACACACACACACACACACACACACACACACACACACACACACACACACACACACACACACACACACACACACACACACACACATCCCCAGCATCAATCCCTTACCTAAAAGAGAACAAGGAGAAACTAGAAAAGTTGCAAATACATGCAATGCGACTCGTCCCTGATCGGAAGGGATTGAGCAATTAGCAAAGATTAAGAGAACTGCATCTTACCACATTGATGTAAAGAGGTAATAGAGGGGGGGGGAGAGGGACAATGATAACAACATACAAGATTCTAATGAAAATTAACAAAGAAAAGGCAGCGTTGTTTAAAGTTAGAAACAGCAGAACGAAGGGTCGTTAGTGGAACCTGGAGATGCAAATGAGTTATAGAAACATAAGAAAGAACTTTTTTTCAGTATTAGAGCAGTCAGTAAATGGAACAGATTAGACGTAGAAGTCATTGAAACTAATTCTATTCTAAATGTTAAATGTAAATATGATACAAGCGTAAGAAACTTAGCATTGCAGATAATGCTGAGTTAAGCTTGACAAGCAGGGATGATGCTGGAACAGATCTGGACACGGGAGATGATGGTGGGATGAGCAGTTCAAATACAAAGGATGTTGTTGTTGTTAAAGATTCGCTACCTGGAACAAAAAGTTCCAAGTAACACGGGCTATGGTGAGCCCGTAGATAGTTATAATACAGAGGAAAGATATGCTTGACTTACTTAATGTGGTGAGGTTGACACGGATGTCGTTGGCGTCCTCCCTCCGCCACTTGATGGTTGGCACCGGGGAGCCCCGGGCGCTGCAGGCCAGGGTCAGGTTCATCCCCTCCAGCAGGAAGACATCCCGGCTGCTCATGTCGTCCTTGATGTACGGAGGCACTGCAGAGGGTTACATCGCGTCATATCACTGCTCACTAACTCACAGCCTTCTAACCTTCACTGCTGCTCGCATCTACAGTGGAGCCCATCTGTTATCGTCTATTAATCTGGCATGTCTCGCTCCCCAGGAAGGGGGGGAGACATTTCGCACCGCCAGGGGGGCATTTCGCACCCCCAGGGGGCCTCTCGCACCCCCTAAGGGGCCTTTCACACCCTTAGGGGGATCTCTCGCCCGTCCAGGGGGCCTCTCGCACCCCCCAGAGTGAAGGCCTCTCATACCCCCAGAAGGAATGAAGGGGAACGGGGGAGAGACTTGCTCTCATAGCTACATTGTTTTGCTGTCTCTTTTCATTCACTGCTACCGCAGCTCTGTGGCGCATTGGTAGCCCTCCCGATCCACTCTTCGCGAACTATTTGAGCCGGGTTCGAGCCATGGACAGAAAGGGTAGGCAGGGTGGTGGTCGCAGAAGACAGAGGTAACACAAACGGTTGTCAGGTGTGGTCAGAGACCAGAGGTCACACAGGGAGATGCTAAGTGGTTGGGCGTGAGTGAGAGGAATGGTGCCCAACCATATGAACAATCGAGGAATCGAACGCTGATCCGCAAGAAGCGAAACCGTCACTATACAGACGTGTGGCCCACGGGCGAGGAAAACAACCACGGAAGAACTACAACAACAATTAGGGAGCGAACCTCGAATCATCTTTGTAACCAATTAACTACTGAACTACTCTCATAGGTTGTGTCTCCCCTCCCCCCTACAACACGGTAGTAAACAACAGTGTTATATATTTGCCTTTAAAACTGTGTTGCTTTAACAACCGACAACTGCTGTGCCTAATTCATTCTAGTTATTTACTATGTTTACGTTGAAGAAATTCTTTCAGGCATCTCACTGGCATTTGTGGCAATATGAATTTTCTCATATATATAAATTAATATTGTTATATATTAGTATATTGTGCATATTTAGGCATTAATTACGTTAGGTGTTTACGCACGACTCACAACTGATGACATCTGAACACTTCATCTCACCAACATGTGCAGACGAGGAGTCACAATAACGTGGCTGAAATATGTTAACCAAACCACACACTAGAAAGTGAAGGGACGACGACGCTTCGGTCCGTCCTGGTCCATTCTCAAATCGATTGTGAATGGTGAAAAGCAACATCACATCACCAGATATGATCATCACCCCTGATGATCTAACTCATGTCCCGTAAACACTGATTAAATGCTATAATATCCAAGCAGAACACTGCTCCTGAAGGGGCTCCGGAACACACCTCCATGAGCCTCCTGAAGCGACTTACCAACAACGCTGACGTGGCCCGTCTGACTGATGGCGATGGCTGTGTTGATCTGGCACATGTAGGTGCCCGCGTCGCCTGGCCGGACGTCCTTGATGTTGAGGTACCAAGTCCGGTGACCGTCGTGCGACACCCCGATGCGATTGTTCCGTGTTATAACGTGATTCCCCACTGTCAGGATCGCCGAGCGGTCACGCTGGATCCACGCTAACTGTTGAACAACAGGAGAATTTACACACTAAAATCACAATTGCATGATGCATCAAATGAACACATAAATGAACAAATGGGACAGTTAAGGTGAGGTGATTATAGCACATACATATATATTTTCCATATATGAATAATTTACACACAGTTATGACATACAAATTAAACGAGATTTGAGATTCATCACACCTGATGATCGAGGGCAAGCGGCCGGGACCAAGAGCTCAAGCTCATCTCCTGTAAACACAACTAGGTGGGTGATACACCCATGACCCCTCCGGTATCCAAGCTACACCTAAGTGTATATATGTACACGTGTACACTACACCAAGGCTGCCTCTTAAAGCTGGATACAATGAAAGAACCATAATTCGTCCCTAAATGTCCTCGAACTGTAGGCAATATTGGATAAAAAATACTCTCTAGTTCGCTTTAAGCGTTCTCTTCGTCCGTACTTCGCGTTGAGCGTTCTCTTCGTCCGGACTTCGCGTTGAGCGTTCTCTTCGTCCGGACTTCGCGTTGAGCGTTCTCTTCGTCCGGACTTCGCGTTAAGCGTTTTCTTCGTCCGGACTTCGCGTTAAGCGTTTTCTTCGTCCGGACTTCGCGTTAAGCGTTTTCTTCGTCCGGATTTCGCGTTAAGCGTTTTCTTCGTCTGGACTTCGCGTTAAGCATTCTTTTCGTCCAAACATCCAATCTCAAATGAGATTTCCCGTTTCCGAGCACGCACACACTGATGTATATATGTGTGTGAATATGTGTGTGTATACATACGTATATATATACGTATGTGTGTTTATATATATGTGTGTGTGTGTATGTATATCAATATTTAATTACTTAACACTAAAATTAACACAGTTTCAGGCCTGGAAGTTGAGAACAAGGAAGTCTTTTGTACCTTCACCCACTTTCTCACGTATGTCTCATGCACTGACGCTTTTGGGCTGGGTGTTCCGAATCTGTTTAGCTATTTAACTTGTATATAATTGTCTTTAAGTATAAATTTGTTCGATCATTAGAACCACCGAAGTCACCCGGTTCGAGGCTCTGATGATCCATGTGAATGAAACTTTATTACCCACGATATTGTGGTTTATCAATTGATTTTTATTTAATTGTAAACTAAATTATGAGTTTTATTTGGTCGACAGTTTCATCTGTTTGTGTATATCCCATGGTTATGTCCTGTTTACTTCCACTATATATTCCTCGTAATTTTTATATATTCCCTAATTCAATAAAATGTAACTGAAATAGCTTTACTCTTTATAGTAAAGGCTTATAATGCTGGGACTCGTCCAAATCATTGTTTGTTGTTAGTTATTAAGATACGCTTGGTTTGTTCTGTTGTTCTTCAACTGAACAAAGAGTGTTGCTGTGACACTCTTCAGAGGCCTCCGGGGTTCCTCTAGAACACGCAGTCTTTGATATCGTTACTTTATTACGAAAAGAGATAATGAGAAAATCATTTGGAGAAATGAAGGGATTCGAACCCTCGATCTGGGTACTCCCAAGCCGCGCACCTTTAACTCTGTATGGAGGATCTCCAGCCTGAGGAACGCCATGCCGACACATTTCGAAATATTGAAAACAATATGTAGAAGACAATCGACTTGAGAATGGTCCAGGACGGACCGAAACGTCGTCGTTCCTTCACTTTCTAGTGTGTGGTTTCGTCAACATATTTCAGCCACGTTATTGTGACTCCTCGTCTGAACGAAGAAGACCAAACCATACACCTGAAGATGAAGAAACGACGACGTTTCGATCTTTTCTGGACCATTATCAAGTCGTATGTGTTTGGTCCAGGACGGACCGAAACATCGCCGTTTCTTCGTCTTCTGATGTGTTATTTGGTCATCATATCTTCACCCACATTATTGTGACACATCGTCTCCAATGTGTTGAAAGTCTTGCTGATAGATAGCGCTGTAATATCGCTTCGAATTCTCTGCTACGCATGCCGTCTCCTTTAATCCCTAAAGCACTTGATCGTGACTTCGACTCACCAAGAGTATACCATACGGATAGAAAAAGGTATTATTTAGCTGAGAGGCGTCGAAACATCAATATGGCAGGTGTTTACTAGTTTTCTCATGCAGTCACTCCGAGTCATCTACATTTGTAATTCTCATCGTTAACATTGTATTATCCAGAAAACACAGACACACATGATTCTATTTCCTCTGTTAGGTCGTTGGCTTACATCAGGAAGAGTAGGAGACCCAGTGTCAACTCCTAGGGCATGCCACTTGTAACTTCTAGTCCCTCCGACGTCTGTGTTCTCTGTTTCACACCAGGTTGGTATCATCTCATTTATGAAGAGCCCTTGTCCTCCTATACAAGCCTATGTGTCTGTCTGTCTGTTTTGTAATGGATATTTTGTTTTTGTCTGTGCTTATGTTGACTATTTTTAACCGCAGGATTAAACTGTTAGCTCTTTGACCCCGCCTTTCTAACCGACGGTTGTCTAATGTACTGACATCCAACCTATTTTCCTC